TCGCCTTCCTTCCCTTCATACGGCTTTACCTTCAGCCGTATGGCTTCGGGTGAGGCGGGATTGCTCCCGCCGCCGGAGCCTGCAGGTTCTACCCGCACATGCGCGATGAGGCCCTGCTCGTACGCGTCGAATGCATTGACGCGCTCGAGCTGCTCAGCCGGTGTTGATACCATCAGGCTCTGCAGGGCCTCCATCCCGAAGATGCCTGCCATCTTCCGAACCGACTCGAACTGAGAGTCGTTCATATGGGAGAAGTCGTTCCTATCCATGGCAACGAACTTCGGAGGTTCAGGTAGTCTACCCGCGATGGCGTGGATTGACTACAAGTGCTACCAAGTGTGACGGGGTCACACAGCACCTTGCGCTAGAGGAAGTTATCTTCCGAGAGTATACAAACTCTCAGTGAACGGCAGTTCACAGGTCCCCTCTTTAATTAAAGAGAGCGAAGTGACCTAAATAAGGTAGATTGTAAACTGAGTATATTTATAGGTAGGTTAAGTTTGTGGTTAATACAAACTATCAGTTACCTATAGAAATGCAATGTCATTTAACCAATGGTTGGTTTTGAATGACCTTGGTACCTTGTACCAAATATCCCGGAGTATGACATGTCATACTCCTGAAGTGTGAAGTGTCACACTTCATGTAACCAGGGTACACTTAGTGCTACGTACCCCGTTACAGTTTCCACGCTACGCAAACATCCTGCGTCCCGCCAAGACGGAACCAAACCAAGTCAAGCTTCCCTTCAAGTCCACCAGAGGAGTGTAACCAGCCCCATCGATGGGTACACAAGGTGAGCCCTCAGCAATCCCACGGTTATCAGAGGGCCCCCTCTGTCAGTCCGTAGTCCGGGGCACGGTGTGTGAGAATGGATCGTAAGTTTTGCGAGAGCCACTCCACTACAGTTCCTTCACTATACTGTCAGCAGGACTACTACGCTTATCGCTGATACGCAGGGTCTTGTAGCCGCTAAATATTCTCAGCCGTTGACTTTCAATACCTTCAACTGCCACATCGACGATATGCATTCCAACAGATATCTCCAGCTCGTCACTCGTCAACGCCATCTTATCCAGAATACTCTCAGCAAGTGCAATTCTAGTTGATTTCGCTTGAACCCACTTGTCTTGGCTATACATGCTGCAACAGCTCGTGGTCTATTTTTATGATGTGCATGAAGCAGTCGTCGTCTCTCTCAGCTGCACTTTGGGCCATTCTTTTATTGCTTGCCTGTCCCAACAATAGTATTAAATATTTCTTTATTTTTTCATTCATAAATATTTGAAATATATAGCTGCTGCCGACATTGACTACATGTACTGACCCCTACAAGGGTCGGCAGCTATTCAACGAGTTTTTTTTTACTATACCGGTACTTTTTGCTAAATTAGTACCGTATCCGTACTTACGCCGAAACCCACCCTACATGTATCCGTCAACAAGTTACGAAAATGATGCGCTCCGTGACCGCCGCTATCTGCCGACCCGCAGCTCTGCGCCGTAACTACCCCGCCGCTTCCTCCACCAAGCATTTCAGCACTGATTCTTCCTCTTCGTCCTCTCCAACCTACAACGCCGAGTCGTCTGCGCGCACCCTCAAGCTGCTGGAACGGCGCAAGGTTTCAACACTTGATATTGGCATCTTCAAGCGCAAGAAGAAACCAATCACGATGGTCACGGCCTACGACTACCCGTCGGCAGTGCACGTGGATCTAGCGGGCTTTGACATTCTGCTGGTTGGAGATTCTCTGGGAATGGTGGAACTGGTACGAACAACAGGGTAGTCGGGGATATGACTCTCACTGACGCTGAGTTTGCTACTGATAGGGAATGGATACAACATTGCCGGTGACTTTGGACGATATGATCCACCACACGCAGGCTGTCAAGCGGTGGGTAGCTTAGATATTGGCAGCTTTTGAGAGATATTGAATCGAGTTACGTGAAATGTATTTAATGATAGTGGCGCCACCCGCCCACTCGTAATCACAGATATGCCGTTCGGCACGTGTGAAGGAACGTCGTTTGAAGCGTTGAAGAATGCCCAGCGTCTGATGAAGGAAGAGACTGCACTCGTCGACATTAAATTGATGCTAGAAGGGTGGTGGTGACGTTTTATTGCTGTATAATAACAGGAAGGAGGAGCGGATTGCGTGAAGATCGAGGGAGGCAAAGAACGTGCTGAAACAAGTACAAAATACGCTTTGGTCCGTGGTGTGTACAGTGTCTTTGAGGTTAACCGAGGTCTGTTGCGCCACAGTTAAAACGATCGTTGATGGAGGCATTGCCGTGATGGGACACATTGGGCTTCGGCCACAGCACATAAGTGTTCTGGGAGGGTTCCGCGCCCAGGGCCGCACGGGTGAGCTCGTCCAGGCATTTCAAGCTCTATATAACCGAATATAGGTCTGTTCACTAACGGTATATTCGGCTTTTGATTCTCTCCCTGTGTAGCTGCTCAAGCTCGAATGATCATCGAAGACGCTTTGGCTGTGCAGAAGGCTGGTGCCTTTGCTGTTGTGCTGGAGTGTATCCCATCGGCCGTTTCCAAGGCTGTGACGGAGCTGCTGAAGATTCCGACGATCGGTATCGGTGCTGGTCCCGAGACGGATGGCCAAGTGCTGGTCTTTCATGATCTCCTGGGGATGCTCCAGCATCCGCATCACGCTCAGTTCGTCCCCAAGTTTTGCAAGCGATACGCTGACGTTGGCGAACAGATCCGCATCGGCCTGGAGAATTATCGTGACGACGTGGAGAGCGGCCGTTTCTCGAGCGAGGCCTACTCTCCATATAAGGTATGAGCGTGTCAAACCTGGGAGGAGATTCGTCTCTATGTTGTAGGACAACTAACATTTGTGTGTTCTGACATAATAGATGTCGAAAGACGAGACCCAGAAGCTGCACGATATGCTGGCTGACGAGTACAGTCAGAAGGACGACGATGGACAAGAAGACATGGCTTTCTCGGAGGTCACGAAAGTCTACTAACACATAGTAAGAGTGCAAGTTACAGAGAGCATGCAGTCTATTTGCGAGGATCATTTAGAAATGCAAAGCTATCTGGGAACGGAGGGTCATCGTCGTCGCTGTCAGCTTCGCTCTCGTTTTCAGCCGAAGGGACAAGAGCTGAGTTACATTGTGGGAGCACTCGGCATTCTCCCGTTTCAACACACTCGTAGAAATGACAACCCGCTTGGAAGCGTGGCTTCCACGTCTTGTGTTTCTCCAGTGCTGCCATCGCTGCTTTGCTCCTTTTCCAGCTTATGGTGGTAAAGCCGTTGGCTGTCCTGGCCGTATTCATCTTCTCTAGCCTTCTGAGAGGCATCTTCAGGCCTTCCTGTTGCTGCTGGGCCATCTTTTGAGCTTGTTTGCGTGTGAGGAACATGGGATCAGGTGATCTCTGTTCGGAGTTGTCCAGGTAAGTCATACGAGCCGCGTACATCATGGACTGCGTCTGCTGCTCTTCCTCACTCGTGCCAGCTTTTGCTACAGCGAGTGTCAAGAGTGGTGTCAATGGCTTCGCCTCGTTGGACATTTTGCGTGTTGCCACGGAATGGTCTTTTATGATAATTTTGTATTTCAAACCAATTTATTGGTTATTCATAGATTCTTTGGTCTGATACCGATTACCTTCAACGCCTCTCACTGAGAGTCTCACATTGCGACTGTGCAGCGACGAAGCTCACTTAAACTACGTAGTAGTGAATTGTATGTTGGTTGGCTGAAGCGGGTTCATCGAGAACAACAGCTCCTGAGCAGGAAGTACTAGCTGCTGCGCTGGCACCTCGTCGATGCCGGTTGCCATTCTCTTTCCGTCTCACGAGTTTCAGATTAATTCTCTGCAAAGGAATCACGCAGTGCAAACACTATTATACAACCCGATTGGTCGCTCTAGTTTTTGTTTTGGGTCTGGTCGGTGTTGTGCCCTTCTTCGCGTCGGTGCTGCTGTACAAGCGAACGTTTATATCCATCGCTGCTCGCTCTCGAATAGAATGGTATTTTCTCTAATGGTTTAAAAATGGAAGCCTCGTTTAAATTACTACAATATTATACTGGGAAGACGCGTAGTCTTTTTAAAGATCCTAGCAAAACGTAAATATGCAGCGAAGTCGATGCCGTGCCCCAAAGTTTCGCCCTGCTTCACTGAAGCCTTCCACGAAGCTCCAGGATGCGGGCAGCTTCTGCATCTCATGCGGCTCCCGCAACGCTGTCGTCTTTCGACAAAGCAATGACAACCAGAAACTCATCAAGTGCCAAAACTGTGGTGTTATCTCACCTGACTTCTGTCAATCCAAACCGGGGCCAGGAGTTCGTGAGGATTTTTCACCTCTTAACAAGGAACGAGCACAGGGTAAAAAGCCACGCCAAAGACCTCCTGGTGTATTTATCTGAAGTTCGTAGTTGTTTAATAATCTACAGAGATGGCCGACCAGATTCTAGATGCATTCACGCACCAGCACACGAGACAGAAGCTGCAACGAGCACTTGCAGTTGGTACGAAAGCTTAAAGGTTGCAGCGTTTGCCGTCCAACTGAGCTAACAACTGAAGTGGCTTGTATTTAATGAGCAGCTCATGGGGATGTGGGGCTTATTTGTCATGTTAGTGTCCTCAAATGCTGCACTGAGACACCTACTGTAGTCTGACAATTCTATTTAACCTCGCAGAAATACCTTCCCGTCGCGATTGAGATATTCGCTCACGTCGTTTCTCTCTATGGGTTTTCTGAGAGCATTGAAGGTGTAATGGAAAGTGTCCGAGTCATGCAAACGCAGGCCAAAGATGACGAACAACTCGTGCAAAATCTCATCGCTATCCGGAAACTTCTCACACCGACGGGGAATTGGATCCAAGAAGACAAAGAAGCTGAAAAAGATGATGAGCATCGTAGACAACTGGAACAGCAAGCGCTTCTACAAAAGGCAGAAGAAGAACATCGTAAGGAATTTCTATTTCAGGAGAATGCGAAGAAGGCTCGGCTACTGGCGAAGAAAATTGCCTTGGGACTTGATCCATCCGTTGAACGTCCTCCTCTTCTTGTTGCATTTCCGCCGCCTGTTGTAGCTGCCACTGAGAACGCGTCTCTGGATCTTCGAGTCAACGCGAAATTCGTGAAGAAGTTTCAGTGGTTTTTCAATGGCCATCCAATTGAAACGGAGGAATTCGTATCTGGCATCAATCGATGCACACTCGTAATCTTAAAACTCACGAAACGTGTGACTGGAGAGTATTATTGCACGTGCGAAAACGAAGAGGGAACAGTCAGCTCCCCCACTTGCAGGGTGTCCCTCGCAGTCTTGAAACTATCGCGCATAGGAACAAAAGCCCTTGGTAACTCGGCGACGTCTCCCATGCACTTGTGCGATAAAAGTATGGTGCTGACATGCGTCGGCAGCACACTCAACTTGTACGAGGCGAAATCCCTCACTCCAGTTAAAGCTTTCCCGGCACTTCCGACGGCTATGGAAGCTCTTGCATGGGAACCACAAACAGAAAGGGTCGCAGTATTCTCGGCTTCAATCCAGCGGGAAGACCAGACTAAAGTGTACTTTTACTCACTTGTACGCACTGATGGAGGCAACAGCAACGCAGCTGTCCCAACTAGTACCAACCGTCGACGCAACCGCAGCAATTTTGGTATATCCAAGCGCAAGGTGCCATCCATTAAGAATTCACTCACGTTTCAGCTGGTGGATGTCCAATCTGTCGACGTAGTGGCAGATGTCCATGCCGCAGAATTCGTTAACAACGGGAAGATGTTGCTAGTGACAGACATGATGCATCAAGTCGCGCTGTACGATCTCGCACTTTCCTTCACCTGTAAGAAGACTTATCTGTTTGGCAGCGATGTGGTTTGTCACGTAGCGGTTAGTCCAAAAGCTCCAATGCTCTTCGCTCTGGCTTTCCGCAACAAACCGTTCATCAAACTTTACAGCAGCAGCACCACCGACAAGAAGACCGGACAACCAGAGATATTAGAGCACCGCATCGACTTCAAGTTCCCCGCGCATCGAGCATCATTCGATTCATCAGGTTTTTTCTTGGCTGTGGCCGAAAGTGGGTTTATGAAGTCGTGGATCTCCATCGTCAATGTCATTACGAAGAAACCTTCGAACAAGCGCTTCAAAGCACACGCAGGCAGAGTCTCTGGACTGCAGTGGACAACAACTTCTTGGTTGCTGGTTTCCAGCAGTTATGACGGGTACATCAAGGTGTGGGATCCTGCAGCGATGACCAATCTTTTGAGTGTTCACGTTGAGATGTACGGAATTCATTCAATGCTGTTGATGGAGGGACCTGTTCTGATCACGTTGGGATACAACAACTGTCGTCTTCAGAGTCGATCCATTTTACAATTGGCCGAGCTGGAGGCATCGCGCCTGGAGGAAATGCACAAACAAGCAGCAAACATTCAGAAGATCTGGAAAGGCAAAAGGACGCGTCAACTCATAGCCAAGTACATCAGAGGGTCCGAGAAGTGACCCCGCAAAAATAGACCTCCTCCTCTGTGTTTTGTTTGTCCAGCGTCAAGGTGGCTCGGTTTTTTTTAACCAAAACTAAATACCGATAAAACTACATGTACTTCTCTACTGTTAATCAGTTTTTTATTCAGGTCCCTGATTGGATGAAAAAATATTTGGCAAACAGTACGAAAAGTTGCGCTGGTCTATAAGAATTTTTTTTGTTGAAGATCTTTAAAGGCCATGGCGTGCTAATCAAGTGGATAACTGGTGGCAACAATTACCATCGGTATATGGCGGCGAAGGATAAAGTGGTAAAACAAAGCAAACTTTGGCGGGCGAAGTCGTAGAGGCCATATCGGCCAGTGGTGTGAAGACTGCTCGTGCTCCCAAAGATGTCATGAATAAGATATCAGGGTTAGAAACTAGTTTTCGAGTAGCCTCTGACTGGCTGAGCAACACAGGCCAGGGTGTCGAGAACGAAGCTGGCCTACGAGCCGCCATCCTGCACAGGTGTCCTAGTTTCTATAAGCTGCATCCCATAATGGATGATAGCCCAAGTACTCAAGCACCCTCTTCTCCTCAACACTGACCAGGGATTTTCCTACAGTGATCACGGCAGTGAGAGCTCATCTGACGGCGTAACGACATCAAAACTCGGAAGACGTCCGTCAGCTGACGCAAGGAGCAACGGAGCGTAGCTCTCGTTCGCTGGGCGAAATATCTACTTCTGATACAGGAGCAGCTACGCCTTCGGGTACGGGTACTATCTCGTGCGCGAGGCAGATAAATCGTCAATCGGGTTAGCGCCCGGTTAGTGGGCTTCGCTCAATTGCTACCACAAAACCGAAACCCCAACGAGTGTCTCTTGTGGATCATTAAGTGCTAGTATCACTAAAAGAAGCACAACTTGTTCAGCAAAAAGAAATCGAGTTGGTAAAAATAAATATTCAGCGGCAGGAATTACAGTTCCGCCAGCACCAATCGGAGAAGAAAGAGCAAGAAGCGGAGGCCCGAGCTTAATACAAATACGGTGAAGCCCTAGGAAGAAGCGGAGCATTGACGCACTCAGCGTCTGGTGACTCTTCTTCTTCGAGAGAAAAAAACTTAAAGCTGAAGGTGTTCCTCAAGATGAAATCGACGCGGTTCTTCCACTCGCCCATGTTGCTCCGCTTGGCCCCGGACCTCCAGTAGGTACGCCAAAAGCTGGTTGCATCGCTCCTCCCCTCCAGCGTCAGTAGCGATTGCCATGTTCAACTCGCCAAACTCATCAAGATTGTTCGAGGACGCACCGCACCGTTGGATGTCATCTTCCCACTCCTCAGGAACTGGTTGCGCAATGAGCCAATTGTGTAAAATGCACGTGTAACATACATATCGAATGATTCTGCGTAAGTGTCGCCGCTTAGCCAATTGAGACCGAATGCCATTCAGATATTGAAACCTCGTATTAAGCAGCCCAATGCAATGCTCTGATTTAATCCTGGCAGTAGCCAGTTGGCTGTTAAAATAGGCGTGAGCATAATTCATCGTTCCTCCTGCTGGCTTCTTTAAAGCGAGGACCATCACACATGAAGCCTGGAAGGCTGAGTCTCCAAGAAGGTATTCTTTGTTGCAGAAGAAAGCTTGCTGGTTCTGGTTTGGTGGGCTATATCTCCAAACTCTATTGTCGTGATCTGACCCCGGCCATCCCACAACAAATTGACGTACCCTGACCACATCATCGCAGACGATAAGAGCAATTACTGCGTAAAATCCCTTTCTCGAATAGTATGCTTCACCTTTATTTGATGGCTTAAATTTAAGGCGCAACAGCATATGCCAATCCCAACCCCATAATTACGGAATATGCGTCGCGAGATTTGACAACGCTCAAGCTCGTCTGGCAACGCAACTGTGCTAGCGCCTTATGTCCAAAACGCGTCCGACGCACGCTGCAGGTAGTCTCCGATAGCCCCTTCACCGATACCAAGAAACTGTGCCTGCTTTGACCATGTGTTGTCGTTGCCAAATGCACCGAGGCATTTCAACAGCACGAGCATGTGTATCTCCAGTCCACCGCGAAATGGGCAGTTGCCCGAAGATACCATAGCCGGGTGGTCTCTTACCAGGGCGACGAGTCTGAAGAATGCCTCGCGCTCCAGCCGAAAGTGGTTCAAAAACTCCGTCGAATTTAGCTCTGTAGTATCGTAGATCAATTGTTTCCAACAATTGTTACGACGACGGTACGATGACAGTCGGTCAAAGTATCGCGAGCCCAGTACTCGCTCGTATGCAGCAGCATGCAGGATGTCTAGCTCATCTTCACGTGAATCTTCATCGTCATACAAGTAGCGAAGTCTGGCTGCCTCCTCTCTGACTTGAAGAACAATCTTTAGCTTTCGCAAAGCGACTTGACGAGCGCTTGGATGCGGCATCTTGGAAAAAATATTTAACTAGCTGCTACAGCAACCGAGGGGGGGGCAATAGTCCACCTGTTTGATTGGCTAATAATGTTTTAGTCATAATGTCGCTAAAAAAATATTTTTAGCTGCTGCGAACATTAGCAACCCCTATTAGGGGTTGTGAGTTTTTTTTAAAACGTAATCACCTATTGGATACCGGTAATTGCGCCCCTAATTGAGGGGTACCGGTTTCAGACGGTAAGTACCCATAAACCGGTAGACAAACCGGTCCAACACGACCCCGCGATGATTACGGTACGTTGATTACGCTATCGATGATTAGACGAGTAGGATGATTGGACGAGTGTTGGTGATTGGATGCACCAATTGATTGGATGACCTAGGTAGTGAGGACAGTGTAAGCTCCGATAAATCAACCACTTCGAAATCTTTTTTCTTCCCCTCAAGTGTCTTGGCTTCGGTCTACTCCCCGAGTGGTGACTCTTCCCTTCGCTCCTTACAAGCCAACGTTGCCTAAAACCCGTGATCTCTATCAGGTTATTAGCCCAGGTAACATGTCCTCTGCGCAAGACGTTTCAACTAAAGTCTCAATCGACAAGATCAACAGTGACAACTAGCCGCTACATGCGTGGTGTGTGTTTGACCAAGTCAGTATGGCATGTCGTGAACCGAGAGACGACTCCAAGCTTCACGGACCCTCGTGCGAAGGACGAGTATGTCAAGTTGAGCAACCTCGCGTTCGGATTGATGCTGCTCCACATGGATGCGTACTACCACCACGTGGTCGACAACTGCGAGGAAGCGTGGACCGCGTGGGCGCGCTTGAAGACGTCGTACGTTGGATCGCAGAAGGCAAGTCGTATTTACCTAAAGCGACAGCTCTTCAGCATGGAGATGTCTGAAGGCGCGAACGTGTTGCATCACTGCAATGAAGTTCTCAACATCAGCACCAAGCTTAGTAGCATCGGCGCCAAGATGGAGGTCGAGGACGTTGCGATCTGCTTGTTGCGCAGTCTCCCCAAGAGCGACGAGAACGTCGTGCTACACCTAGAGATGAGTACTGCTGAGCTGAAGACGCAAGACGTTGTGAAGGTGCTCACGAACGAGCATATCAAGCGATAAGGCGAGAAGACCTCTGCGGTCAAGACTGAAGACGCGGCGAAGGCGTTCAGTGCCGAGCGGGAGTCTCGCCAGTTTACTTACTGCGGGAAATTGGGGCACGTGATTAAGAAGTGCTGGACCAAGCAGATGGATGAGAATCGAGGAGGCCGACGCGGCGGCAACAGTCGTGGACGCGGGGCCAACAATGTCCAGTTGCGAAACGACGACTACGCCCACGGCTATGATCGCGTGGCGTTTGCGGTTTCGTTGGAATGTGGAGTTTGGACGGGCAAGAGTATATCCGGGCTGTGGGCAATCGACAGCGGTGCGACACACCATGTATGCAATGACAAGATTAAGTTTGTCATGCTGAACGAACGAGATGAAGGCGAGCTGAAGGTCGCTGATGGCTCTAACGTTGCTATTAAGGGCGTGGGGACCATCATCGAGCGTGTGGTTCTGCCCAACGGCGATGAGCGCGAGATCGAGATCAACAACACGCTCTTCGTGCCGAAGATGAAGAAGAACTTGCTACCGGTGCCGCAGATCAACAAAAGCGGCAAATTTCAAGTGGTGTTCGACGGTGAAACCATGCACGTTGTGCGCAAGGATTCGAAGGAAGTGGTGGCTACAGCAGATCTCGTGGGCGGTCTTTACTGGCTGCGCACAGCACTATGCTCGGTAAGCGCAGTGACTTCGAAGTCGAGCGTAGACTTGCACGCGCGCATGGGCCATGCTCCTATCGACGTGCTACGCAAGATGGTCAACAACGGCATGATCAAGGATGCCAAGGCACCTTTGAAGTCAAGTGGGGAAAGTGTCTGCCGCGGGTGTCAGCGAGGGAAAATGGTCCAGAAGCCGTTCCCCAGTAACCGCGACAAACGCAGCTACGACACGTTTGAGTTGCTTCATTTCGACATCTGCGGCACCATGGAAGAAGAATCGTTGGGTGGGAGCAAGTACTTGCTGCTCATCGTTGACGAAGCCAGTGAATGCATGAAGGGTTCTGCTTACGAGCCAAGCCGGACGCTGAAGAATGCCTCAAGAGCTATACCACGAAGATACAGACGCAATTCGGCAAGTGGGTCAAGTTCGTACGCCATGACGGAACTCGTGAGTTCGCGACAAACGCACTCAAGGTGTTCTACGAAGATCGAGGCATCGAACAGCAGACCACAGTTCCGTATGCGCACCTGACGAACGGCACTGCAGAACGAGCTATCAGGACTATCGTCACGATTGGTCGCAGCATGTTGCACCATGCAAGTTGGAGAAGTGTTTCTGGGGCGAAGCGGCGATGGCCGCTATCTACGCTAAGAACCGCCTACCGTCACCCAAGATCGAAAACAAGACTCCATTTGAGATCGCGTACAAGTCCAAGCCAAGTGTGAAGCACATGCGTGTGTTTGTTTGCCGGACGTACTTTTTAACGCCGAGGGAAAAGAGACTCAAGTGGGATCCCAAGGCTCGAGAAGGGTTGTTCATGGGCTATGAAGAAGTGTCAAAGGCGTATCGAGTTTATGACATCGAGGCGGGGTAGGCGGTGATCAGTCGCAATGTCAATTTCGACGAATCAAACTTTGGGTTTTCGACGGCTAGCCCAAGCGACGACGACGCAGATTCTGATTTAGACCTCGACTATCTCATCATCAACGATACCGAAACCGCGGGACCAACGGAATTCAAGCAGGCGGGGAAACGCAAGTCCCGCACAAGTAACGTTCACAGCATGACTAAGAGATCGCGCGCTGCACAGCAGGCTGCCGGTTTGGAAGAAGCTAGAGCTCTAGAAACCTCGTTTGAGCGTCAAACAAAGCGCCGACCAGGTGTGCGAACTGGCTGTGATGTGGCCAATGAAGAAGAAGAAGACGTCGAGGATCAAGACGACAATGACGCAACTCCGCCTGTATTTTGGCCAGCATGTGTCAACGTAGTGGTAGCTGGTGTTTTAGCTGAGCCAGCAACGTTCCAAGAAGCGGTGAATGGGCCTGATCAAGTGCATTGGCGCAAGGCCATCCGTGCCGAACTTAAGTCGATGCGACTTCGCGGTGTGGTTCGAGCTGCCAAGTTACCGAGCGGTCAACGGGCCATCGGTACGAAGTGGGTGTTTAAGATCAAACGCAAAGCGAATGGTTCAATCGAGAAGTACAAGGCGCGCCTTGTGGCGAAAGGCTTCAAGCTGAAGTATGGCATTGACTACACGGAAACGTTCTCGCCCGTGGTGAAGTATGTGACTCTGCGCATGATCATTGCTTTGGTTGTGTACCTCGGCTGACCCCTGGACCAGCTGGACGTGGTGACAACATTCCTGTATGGCATAATGGAGGAGGTGATTTTCTACATGGTGCCAGAAGGTGTCAAAATTGATGATGAGTTCGACTGCCTGGAGCTGGTGAAGGCGATCTACGGTCTCAAGCAAGTATCGCGCGTGTGGAACTAGACCTTCGACGACTACGTGTGCTCCATCGGCTTTTAAGTTTCAGCATACGACCCGTGTCTCTACATCAAGACTTTGGATGGTCACTGTGTGCTTCTGCTGGTACACGTAGACGTCGTTTTGGTGACTGGTAGCTCGGCCGAGCTAATTGCAACCACCATAAGCGATCTAAAGAAGCGCTTCGAGATGACCGACAGTGACAAGTGTGCGCTCGTACTGAAAATCGATATGGTGTACAACGCTGACGGGAGCGTGACGATGTGCCAGCGCCGATATGTCGACGACATCCTTAAGCGTTTTGGTATGGATGAGTGCAAGGTGGTGATGAGTCCAGCTGATTTGAGCTTTCGACTAGTCCCAAGCAGTGCATCGACCAAGGTGAACGCTCCGTTCCGCGAGGCTGTAGGCGCACTCATGCACTTGATGACCGCGACACAACCGGACATTGCCTTTGCCGTGGGATACGTTTCTCGCTTCATGGAGAACCCACAAGTCGAGCACTGGGCTGCTGTGAAGCGCATCTTTCGCTATCTACAAGAAACTAAGTCGCATGGAATCTGCTTCAAGCCTGGTGACAAAGTGGATTTCCGCGGGTACTCTGACGCAGATTGAGCTGGTGGCCACTCCGATCGCAAGTCAACTTCGGGCTACACGCTTCTTTTGATGAGCGCACCCGTGAGTTGGGGGAGCAAAAAGCAGTCAAGTGTGTCGCTGTCAACAAGCGAGGCAGAAAACATCGCGCTAAGTTTAGCTATTCAAGAAGCCAAGTGGGTTCACCGCCTACTTTGCGAGATTTTGACGACAGCAGGGAAATCGGGACCAGAGCTCAAGATCCTCGAAGACAACCAGTCATGCATCAAGATGACCAAGAGCCCAGTGAACCATGGTCGGGCCAAGCACATCGACATCAAGTACCATCACATTCGTGATGAGGTCAAGCGCGGTGAGGTCAAGCTGGAGTACTGCGAGACCTCTGTGACGCTGGCGGACATCATGACGAAGACGCTTCCGGGGCCACGTCACAAGGACCTTACGACGGCGCTAGGAGTCAACGCGTGTTCGCATTTGAGGGGGCGTATTGAGGGGTACCGGTTTCAGACGGTAAGTACCCATAAACCGGTAATTAAACCGGTCCAATACGATCTTGTGATGATTACGGTACGTTGATAACGCTATCGATGATTAGACGAGTAGGATGATTGGACGAGTGTTGGTGATTGGATGCACCAATTGATTGGATGACCTAGGTAGTGAGGACATTGTAAGCTCCAATAAATCAATCGCTTCGGTCTTCCTTCTTCCCCTCTAGTGTCTTCGCTCCGGTCTACTTCCCGAGTGGTGACTCTTCCCTTCGCTCCTTACAAGCCAACGTTGCCTAAAACCCGTGACCTCTATCACCCCTCCCAAAAAAAATCTCATATATATCTATATATATATAAAATTAACAATAATTCGCTCTTGGGGCTGTTTTTTT